TATTGGAGTTTATTCGAAATAAATAAATTGCTTTTTTTCGATTTTATTTCTTTTTTTTGTTCGTTACATGAATTTTTGGTGCTCAATATATTTGTCATGTGATGCACGAAACTTTTTTGGGTGGCGATTTTACCCCGGTCGGATCAACCACGGCACCTAGGTTTAATGAATCCCGCGCGGGATTTTTGGAAAAACCGCGATTTGCCCATCTCTACCTGCAACTAATCAAATGCTTAACCCTAACCCTATGTGATGTCGGCTAAATGAGCGTTCGGTGAAATGATTGTCGAGAAAGACTTTCATTGTCTTGGATCATTAGGATACCAATAGTGTTTTCAGGGTAATGAGCGTTCGGTGAAATGATAGTCGAGAAAGACTTTCGTTGTCTTGAATCATTAGGATGAAGATCGTGTTTTCAGGGTATCTCGAGATCAATGTTAAGAACTTTCTTAGTTCGGGAACATAAAGTCGGCTCTCAGGAGTGTACATAATGCAGCGGTAATTGATCGGAACCGTTAGATTGCCTTGGTCGAATTCACGGACTACAACCTTTAACACTTCTAACATATCTATGGATCCATTCTTTTGCAACGGAACATCTGCAGATATCCATGACATTACTGATGCTTCGTTTTTTTCCGAAAACAGGCGCAGAAGATAATGAAACTTCTTGTTAATTAGAGATATATTTTCCCATCAACCTGCATAAAATAACAGTCAATGAGATAATATTCTCAGCAAGTATATGTAGAGATAATATACTCAGACATGCAATATGGGAAGAGCCAGAAATTTCGATTTTACCTGTTTTTTAAACATCCTGGCTTGTTTATCTAGTTTCATGGTGGGTCCTCGTTTCATGCCATTTTTCATAAACTTTTTTTTCCGTCATATCCGGAAAGACCTGACCATATTTTTTTTTTGCGAAGAATTTCGAAGTCATCCTTGTCGAGGTTTAAATTTTGTCCGCGCAAAAAATAATAAGAGTTTCAGTATCCCAGTTTTCAGCCGAGAGAACGGTCATAGTAATAGCGGGAGAAGGCATAGGATTATTTGGCTAGTGAAGAAGCGAAAAATTCA